AATTAAACAGACGGAACGCTATCGTGCAATTTTATTTTTGGATGTAAGGTTTCACATACAGTCACTACGTGAATTGAATGTTGAATCTAATTAACGGGTGAGTTTCCTCACTTCAGGTGTCGATAAAATGAGTTTCTTGATTTATTCATTAATCAGGTCTATTATGCTTCAGGTCATATTTTACAACATGAATATACTGTATTGCTAACTTGTTAACGACTAATAAGATACTTTGTTTATAAAATAATATTTATTTATTTCATTTAAATTTCAATTTTTTTTTTTTGCATTTATTTGTATGAAAATTCAAACTCAATTTCACCAAACTCGCATTGGAGGCCTGAATAAAATTTCCAAAATTGTAAGCAACAAGCGAAATTTTAATAGCAAGCCTCCCATATAATCTAGAAATCAAGATCAGTACTCGAAAATTCTTTTTGATTATGTATGAACAGATTAAGAAAAACCCACGTTCTTTTCAAGTACAGAGAATTTCAAATTGATAATGGATTATGAAATTGTTAATTAAAAGGTTTTTTAACTTTCCCATCGTTAACATCTACGGTCACAAAATTTTGCATCCACGTAGGCAGACAATGTGAAAAGTACGTCGAAAATTTATTTCAAATGCAAAGGAAGCTAACGCATCTTACATTAAATTTTATATTCTTGAATAATCATTTATTAGACACCTTTAATACATCTCAAACACATTGAGATTAATTGAGTCTAATAATTGACATTTTACAAGGAATATGTCATTCCTCGGACTTGTACACCTCACGCAACTTGAATCACTTTATTTCATAGCTTAACGGAAGAAGTTTTTCAATCCATAGTTAACAGTTTAATGCTAATGAGGATTAAGACATTGAGAATTCTAGGCGAAGAAGTCTATGGAAGTGCCCTGTTATTTCAAAAAAATTGGTCCGTATCTAAAATATTTGGAGATAGAAATCAAGAAGATTCTGCGAGGAAAAAGGTCTTTGAAAGCATCGCGAATCATTGTGATAAGATCGTATTCCTTAAAGTTGAATTACTTAATTATAAGTACATCTCTCTATTTCACCAATAATAAGGATCAAATAAAGTACCTAACCTTTCGTAATTTGACTTACATGGATCATGTTTTCATAAATGTGGTTTTTTTTGCTTTTGGCATTATTTTAAAGAAACAAAAAAAAAAACGTGAAGGTTTATTAAATAGAATCGTAGGATATTTGGTTCGGATTCATATCAAAAAATAAATCCTACTTCCATTTTATTCTGGGAAAGGAGACAGATAGTAGTAATTATTGTGATAGATTTTAACATTTTTCTCCATAAAGTTTTTATCGAACCAAGATTAACTTTAAAATTTACATCGAAAACATTAACTCATAAAATCGATCATTTTCAAGTTTGAGCATCCAAATCTATATCATGTTAAAGTTTAAAAAAAAGTTTAAGATTACCGGTAAATAAAATAATCGAAGTTAAACTTTCACGAGCGATGATATTACTAACTTTAAATCGTCATTATTTAATTATAAACTTTAATAAGAATTAAACTCAGGTTCATACGGCGGGCGTGAGTAAATATATTTATCTTCAAACATATAAAAGCTAAGCCTAAAAGACATCTCTAAAGTTGTTACAATTATGAGATGAACATGAAGAAATAGTTAATGACAAATTTGATTTACGTTAATTAAGGAAAACTTCAGCCAAGTCTTTAAATAATAAATACTCGTTGGGACTCCATATATTAATAATTAAGAGACACACATCATAGACTGACGGGTCTAATTCAAAGTCCATCATCCTCCATTCCATAAATATTCCTAAAGAAACATGTGTGTTCAAATTATTCCAAGAAAAAATGCCATTTGCGATATAAACTATCAAACGGAAACTAAATTATTATTTTTCTTCAAAGACCAGATTACTGTCGTGCCCTATAGATTAATATGCCTGCTTTGCAATCTAAAAAGATATCAAACCGCTTATGTTCCAACTCGACTGAATTACTTAATAAGTTTTACTTGTTTGAAAGTCGTTCGTTACTATCGTTCTTATTATATTGAAATGTCTCTTCCTGTAAAGACAAATCTCTTCGGTTACAGAAATGCCAAAATATCTCTGATTTACTAACTTTTTTTTTTTTTTTTTAGAGAAATGTTTTTCAGTTGCACGTGTCGCCCTACCAATTATTGCCTGAGGGGGTCGCAATAATTAGTTCCTCATCAATACATATCTAGGTTGCGCACGTTTCTTTGTTACTTCACACCTAATGATGCTGCGTTTTACTGTACTTCTTTGTTCGTTTTTAATTTTTTGTTATTTATAAAATTTATTTACTATTTGACGCTTTTAAAAATATTATTATTTATTTAAAAAATCCTTAATAAATTATTTATATTAAAATAGTTGATAGTATATTGATGAAAAAAAAAAATATGAATAAAATTTATTACTGTCACTGACGCCGTTGGTTACCTTAAAAGGAAAGCTTGTAATGATTCATCCGCGTATTTATAGGTAAAAAAAGGTACCGCAATATCCGATTATTAGTGTAACCTGTGTTAGACGCAAAATCTGCTGCGACTTAAGTGCTACCTCAACTACGCATCATTCATGATTGATTAATGTTATACGTGAAGAAAATCGTAAAGACGGAAGGATTGAGAACATGAAAATAAAAAAAATATATTTTCGTGAGAATTCTTTAAACATTTATTGACGAGTTTAAACCAGTTCTATTTATACAAGCACAAATTTGGTCTAAT